TCCCCCCCCCCCCCCTAAAAAAACCAAACCCCAACACAAAACAACCCTGTCCCAATTTAATTTAATTTTGCTTTCAGAATTCTTTTTTATGGATCCACTCTCTCCCCCCACCTTCTATTTTCCTTCCTCATACTGTTTCATGTTTAAAAAAATAGTAGCTCCTTTTGCTTTTCCTGTTTGCTTTCTTATTATTGTTCTGGTTTTCTAGTAGGCCTATAAATTAATGATAACAGTATTATTATGTAATAGTACACTATTCATGAATATGTGCAGTGGAACCTGTTTCTGGACAGCCACCCATTGTTGACCAGCTAAAATGATAATCTTAGACAGATTCTGTGGGTGGTTGACGGGTGTTCGGTTGGGGTCTGCTCTTCCTTTGCCGTCAAACATCTTTGGTCCTTAGGTCTCTCCTCCGGCCTTGCTTTTTGTGTTTGTTACTCTCTTGTAACATCTCTAATCTTCGGCACTTATAACACCTTTTTTGTGTTGCAAGTACTGTAAAACACTTACTTAAACGAAACTAAGACAGATTCTGTGGTCCTCTCGGACTGTCTTTAAAACATAGAAAAACATGCCAAAAAAAAGGCGGAAGGGAGGGGAGGGGGGATTGTGGATTGTCTCTGACTGATGGTCATTAGAGCACATATTTTGTAATATTATCTGTCCCCGTGGTTTTATGCACCCCGCTTAATTTAGCAAAATTTTGTCATTTTTTGCATAATTTCTGATTATTTTCCTTTATCATTCTTTGTTGAAATTAACAGAATCGCATTATTTCATATTTTTGGGCTCAGTTTGCATAATTTCTGAATTTTTCTTGCATAAAATGACGGGGACAGTATTATGTATGTGTTACTCTGAAGTCAAAGGAAAAAGTTTTGTTTAATTAATTGTGAGGCTGCGTGGTGGAATCAAACTGAAGAAACTTGCTTTTTTCTGTTGGTTTGTGGATTTTTATCAGATTTTTGTTTTTTGGCTCAAAACCTTTCATGCCCATTAAAGTACTCATTTCTGTGTGGATTTTTCTGAAAAATGTTGATTAAAGGCACAAAAAATGTAAATTTTCAGTTGACCTGGACTCTTAAGCTAAGGAAATAACTAATCTTTGGCAACCATTTTCTCACTAATTTTACCTCTGAAAATAGGTGACCCCCATCTCCTTCATTCACAAATATCTAGACTTGTATTCCAGGTAAATGGATATTTTTTTATTATCTTAATAAAGACAAGTGAACAAGGTTTAAGATGATACCAATAACTCTACTTGTCCAAAAATTGACGAGAGCCTGATTCCACCATGTTGCCTCAAAATTGTTCTTTCTAGCATCTGTGTACTAATTCACACCTGTCCCTCATCTTTTTTTTCCCTTCTTTACAAAGGTTGCTTATTTGTGGGGAAAAAATGAACAAGATTTGTTATTACATTCTTTTGTTTCTTCCCATGTCCTGTTCTCTTAGTAACCAGTCTGAACCTTGATACTGTGTTTGTTATTAGTTGTGATGTATTTGATCATGATAAACGTGCTTATAATATGACTCTAGCTTTGCGAGCACCGTAAAACTCTTTCTAAACTAACTAAAACTAAAGATTATAATTTTGAAATACGTTGTTATCCTGTTCATTTTGGACATTTAGCAATGGATACGTTGTTATCTTGTTCATTTTGGACATTTTCGCAATGTTGTCTGTACTTTATCCAACTAGATACAACTACATGCTTTAAAAAAAAATGTGAATGTGGGATGTTGCCGTGTGTTCGGTTGTGGTCTACTCTTTCTTTCCTATCATACATCTATTATCGTCATCTCTCTTCCTTCATATTTATTGTGTTTGTTACTCTCAACCAATAAATTGGCAAAAAGATATTATTAATCCGAATACAGGAAAAAGAGGCTAAAACAGCACCTGGACATGGATGGCTGGTGCCTCTATAAATAAATCATTGATGGTCTGGTCTGGTTTGTTACTCTCTTGTAACACCTCAAATCTTCAGTACTCAGATGATATAATTGAATTGCAAGTGCCGTAAAACTTTTACTAAAATAAAGACAAAACAGAGCAAGTTAAAATTAGGGTTTAAGTTCGCTCACTGAAGCAAGTTTGATAGTGGATGGGCTACTAAACCTACACCATTTCACCTTTTTTTTTTTTTGTTTCCGCTAGTTAAAAAAGACTGACTTTTGCTTCGTCCTTTCCAGAAATGCATGAGGACTTTGACGATGACATGTTGGAGCCGGAGCTGATGGCAATATCTCAGCCGGACAAGGTGGAAGGAGGAGAGGTCAGTGGTGTGTCCAGTCGTGCGTTGGTTTATTTGTCTGTTTGTCTCTTTATTTTGATTATATCTGGCAATAGATCTAGTCGTCTTGTGGTTAAGCTGTTGGGCTTGCAAGTAAAAGATGATTATCACTTTTTGTACCATCGGCGACTAGACCGTACCATAGTATGCGCTCATCCTTTCCTCTCCTCCTTTTTTATGTTTGTTACTCTCTTGTAACTCCTCTAATCTTTGGCACTTATATGACCTTATTTTGTTGTGTTGCAAGTTCCGTAAAACTCTTACTAAAATTATTCAATTGTTTTGTGCCTCAGAGCGGAGGGTTAACCCCAGGAGATGAGGGACAAGCACCGGCCCCTACACCACTCCCACTCAACGAGCTCGCGCCTCCGCCTTCACAAGAAGATCTGTTTGGTGAGAAATTTTTTGCGTCCGCTTGTCTGTGAAAACAAACTTTATTTTCTAGAATGGTGTTAGATTCTGCCTTCTTCTCATGTACATGTGAGGCAGCGTGGTGAAATCAGGCGCTCGTTAAAATAATTAAAGTGAAAAAAACTAGCATTTTTCCGCAGGTTTGTGAATTTTTGTTTTTTGGCTCTTCGCTTTTCATGACCACTAAAGAACACATTTCTGTGTGAATTTTACAGAAAAACATTGATTTAAGGCATAAAAGATGTAAATTTTCAGGTTCCACAGACTCTCAAGGTAGGGAAATAACTCAATTTTGGCGGCCATTTTCTTGCTAATTTTACCTCCGAAACCAGGCAACCCCCATTTCCTTCATTCACCAATATTTTGACTTGTGTACAAAAAGATAAATTGATATTTTTTTGTCTTTTCATGCGTTTCCCAGGCAACATCGAGCAACTCAAGAAGCAGCATGAGCAGGAGCAGGCTCAGTTGGAGAAGATGGAGGAGACAAACAAGGCTCGCATGGAGCAGGGACTCCAGGAGAAGCTGAGGAGGAGGAGGAGCAAGAGGAGGAGGATGGAGACAGAGGAGTAGACGGATGTGCAAGAGTTGAGGCTGATGACGAGGAGGAGGAGGAGGAGGAGCAAGAGGAGGATGGAGACAGAGGAGTAGACGGATGTGCAAGAGTTGAGGCTGATGATGAGGAGGAGGAGGAGGAGGAGCAAGAGGAGGATGGAGACAGAGGAGTAGACGGATGTGCAAGAGTTGAGGCTGATGATGAGGAGGAGGAGGAGGAGGAGCAGGAGTAGGATGGAGACAGAGGAGTAAACGGATGTGCAAGAGTTGAGGCTGATGACGAGGAGGAGGAGGAGGAGCAAGAGGAGGAGGATGGAGACAGAGGAGTAGACGGATGTGCAAGAGTTGAGGCTGATGATGAGGAGGAGGAGGAGCAAGAGGAGGAGGATGGAGACAGAGGAGTAAACGGATGTGCAAGAGTTGAGGCTGATGATGAGGAGGAGGAGGAGGAAGCAGGAGTAAGATGGAGATGGAGGAGTAGACGGGTAAGAGTGGAGGAGGAGGAGTAGGATGGATACAGGAGAAGATAGATATGCAGGGAAAAAGAGGAGGAGGAAAGAGTTGGGAGGAAGAGAAGGAGTAGCAAGAGGTGGATGAAAGAGAAGGAGGAGGAGAAAGAAGAGAAGGAAAAACGGAGGCAGGAAAAGATGGACCGGACATGCAGGGAAAAAGGTGGAGACTGGGAAAAGAAGAAGAAGGATGGCAGAGAGGAGTGGGATGAAGACTGATGAGCAGACAGACATGCAGGAGTTATGTTCCTCAAAAGATAAGGAGGAGAAGGAAAAGAGAAGGAGAAGGAGAAAGAAATTGCTTTTTATTTTTCTTAATTAATCCTTTGTTGTTTATTTTTTTTAAAATTCAAATGCAATCAGGTTTATAAAGATCGACTTATATTTGTATTTTACTTTCTTCCTTTTTTTGAACGTTTAAAGCTCAATATTTAATTTTGTTATTTACTCAAATTCACAGCACAGACTAATTTTTGCTGTAACAGACCTCACATATAATATTATATTATTCTTTTCTTGTCCACCCTCTGAGTGGCACATGTGAAGCAATTTTGTTTTGTTTTAGTTGTCAAGACCATGTTACCCATGCCTGAGTATTGCAATGTTGTTGTTTTTTTTGCAATGTTTTTTTTTCTGTCTTTTTTCTTTCTTTCAAAAAAAAAAATTTTTTTTCTTTCTATTTTTTCCAAATGATAGTTTTAGGAAATACATGTACAAAAATGGCCAATTTGAACCCAGATTTTTCAAACATAGTAAACCCCAAATATTTTGATTTGTTTATTCTTTTTTTTTCTCACTGTAGTTTCTGAATCTGTAGTATCGGTTGCATGTGCTCAAATAATATTTTGTTGAAAAAAATGTTCTTGTTGACAGAAAAAAAAAAAGAAAAGAACAAATGTACACAAACTGAAAGGGAATTGAAACATTTATTTTTTTTTCAATTTTTTTTTCTCTCCTGAAAAAATTTGCATTTCTGGGCCTACGACATTTGAATAACTTGTCGGCTAAATTAATATTTGGGTGGGGGGGGGTGGGGGGGTTGGTTTTTGGTTCCCTCTACAATAGACCATAATAATTGCAGTGTTTCGTTGTTTATATTCTTGGTTGTGTCTGTAGAACTTTGTCGGGTCGAGTAAAACGTGGATTATGTAAACTTCACAGGAGCGGAGAAATTGTTTGCATCAAGCAGATTTCGTGTTAAGGGAAGTTGCAATGCAACTGATAAAGGGGAACAACCCCCCCCAAAAAAAATTTTTTTTTTAAAATCGGGGTTTGAAATCCTTTTGCGGTAAGAAAAAAAATGTTGTGTTAAGCAAAGTCTTCTGTATTGATACATTTCAATAACTTGAGATGTTGGATTCTGTTTTTGTATCATTTATTGGCATACATTTTTTTGTCCATCTGTACAAAACCATGTAGACAAATTAACTACACACTTTTCTACTTTTTTTAAGGTAATTTCTTTGGCAGGCGGGCATCTAATTAGTGGATACGTTTAGTTTTGTCCGTTGATTTTTCTTGCTGTTTTTCAAATTATAACTTTTTTTCATGTTAAGTAAAAGGAAATTGAAAGGGGACTTTAAGCAGAAAAAACAAACAAACAACAAAATTTTAAAATTAAAAGTACGGATACTATTTTAGAAAGTCTGGGCTGGCGTAGTTCAGGTATTTGTGAGGCATGCTGACAAAATGAGTTACTTCTCGCAATCAACAAATGGAAATATTGGCCAAAAATCGAAGTTACGGTCCAATTTGTAGATTTTCTGTTGACGCCATATTCTTTAAGTATAACCTGTTTTATATTAATTTATACTTATAAACTGTAAAGACTCCACCTATAAGCGTGGTGCATAGATCTCTATTTCCTTAAGGTTTGAATCCGAGAAGCAACTCATTTTGTCAGCACGGTTCACATTTATAAAGGCATTCTTGTCGAGTTGATGACATGGCTCATGGTAGTGGAGAGGAAGATAGGAAGCTGATAGATCGGGTCAGCTTATCATAGTAAATGAGTTGAACAAATTATTGTCCATTTATGATTCTTCAGAGTCTGTGATATTAGCATTTGATTAGTCAAATATTTGGGAAGAGGAACTGTGATCTGTGTTGAAATTTTTCTCGTGTTTATGTGAATACCTTCCATCTTTCGTCCTTTTCAAAATGCACAAGATATTTATTTTTGTTGATCCAACTGTTTATGTAAATACATGTACGTACTTTATCATGCTTAATTCTCTATGGCATGCGTCTTCAAAGCATACAGAGGTAAACAAACTACTTAATAACTGAGATGGGTTGAGCTGCAGAGAGGTATGAATAATCGAGTTCGTTTAGTAAAAGTTAAGTTTAGACCCCCTCCCCCATGTCTTCTCGAATGACGATGATCATAGCATGCCTGCAAGGTGGTTGGCAGGTGCTCCAGTTTAGTTTGTGCCTTAGTTCCTACAGAAAATGTGTCATCACTATCTCTCCTTTTTCTTTTCTTTGCATGTAGCGTCGATGGCCTAGTGGTAAGGCTATCAGACTCGTAATTGTGATGCTGCGGGTTCGAGGGTTCGAGCTGTGGGCCCAACGTTGTGTCCTTGGGAAAAGCCCTTGACATGAATTTTCTTCACTTCACCCAGGTGGGAATGGGTACCCGTTCATATTCATAGTGAAAGATCTTGTCAGTATATCAGTGTTTTAGCGCCTATAAATGGCTGTATGCTTCTCAGGAAGTTGAGGTTTTTTCAGAATTGTTTCAGGTCTGCTGGGGTAATAGGATAGATTGTAAAGCGCATAGAGCTTGCTGTTGAGCTGGGATTTGCACTATACACATGCTATCTATTATTATTATTACTATGTAACTCTCTTGTAGCAACTCTTATCTTCGGCACTTATATGACCTAATTGCGATGAAAGTGCTGTAAATTCTTACTAAAACTAGAAGAGACCACTCTATGCTCACCACTGGACCGACTGTATAACTGTCATTGAGAACAAGAAAGATGGAAGAAGGAGAAAAGGGGGCTATATTTTACTTTTACAGCTCTATTTAAGGCAAAAGGGCTCAAACTCAGACTCTCGCTGAATCAGAGAACAACAATGAAATGTGAGGCATTGTGGTGAAATAAGGTGCTGGTCAAAATGATAAAATCAAAGAAAATGGCTTTTTTTCTGGCCGTTGAGCACAATTTTTAAGTCCATTTAAAAACATATTTCTGTGTTGATTTTACTGAAAAGCGTTGATCAAAGGCATAAAAAGGCTTTCAGGTCTGCTGGGGTAATAGTAGGCCTATAGATTGTGAAGCACATAGAGTTTGCTGTTGAACGTGGATTTGCGCTATACAAATTATGCTATCTATTATTATTATTAACTATTTCATCAAAATTTATTTTTTTAAATCAAAGGAGAAAACACTATTTCGTCTAAAGTGTTCTTAAGTAATGAGGGCACTTTGGACAAAATGGTTCTCTGGTGACGGTTTATCATTTAAAAAAATCATGTTTTGTCAAACCCTGCCAATGAATCGAGACATACCTAACTCTATGTCCATAGGAATGAAATCCAAGACTTAACTCATTTCGTCTTCATGCCTCACAAACATTCTGTCATTTTGTTTCGGTACTGTGTTATATTCTTGAGAAGATAAAATATTGGACTTTTTCTCCTTGATACCTCGTTTTTGTTCTTGAAAAGATAAAGCATTCCAATTTTTTTCCGGGTGTTTTTGCTCCTGAGAAGATATAACATTCCACTATTTCTCTTTGATTGTGTGTTTTTTCATGTACAAAGAGATAAAGCATTTGAGTATTCTGCATTTCATTCTTGAAGAGAGAAAGATATTTTACTTTAGATATTTCTGTGAAAACTGAATTGTTTTTGTCTTTCCTACACTTTATTTTTTGTATTCTTTTTTTAAAGAAACTAAGTTCCAAAGCTGAACAGTTTTGATGAGAAAGTAGCTCCAAATCTTGTCCATTTTAAACCTTTACTTTTACTGGAAAATGTATAAGGAAAAGTACTTACTCCGTTTTAAACCTTTACTTTTACTGGAAAATGTATGTTATTTATTTGCAAGAGATTTTGTTTGTGATAAATTGTTCTATGTTCTATGTCGATGAGAAGTCCGAGAAGACTCCTACCCTGTGTTATAATATCTCGTCCGTTTACAGTTTACTCAGTAGATTATATTTTGCTTGTGCCTGCAGTGATTTCTACCATTTTCCATTTCGTTGAGTTGACTAAGTTGACTTAGCGAAAGCATGGCCTTACCAGTTGTGACTCTGTGATATTTTCTCTGTTTCTCTGTACTTTGCTCAATGGTAACCACTTGAAGACTCCACTGAAACAACTATTTAACTCCCAATTTGTTTTGTGTCTTTTTTAATTGGAGTTTTGTTTGGGGGGGTTCTATTCCCATGTTGTGTTCTTACAAAATCTGAATGTTCCTCTCCGCAAGTGTTATAACACTCTCAACAAAAGACTAAACAAAACAAAAATGAATAAAATATAAATATTATGAATAAGTCCTGTGTTATGTAAGGTAAAAGATTATGTTTTACTGACTGAGAGATGCAGATTTTCAAACCTTGAGTGTCCATTTTCTACATTTTCTTAAATTTATAATGTGAACTACCCATTTTTTCCACTGGAGTCTTCACCTATATTTAATGACTGTCTTTTGTTGGTAGACTTCGTTTGAGACATTTAAAAAGTATTTTTGATAACTTTTGTTACACATATTATGGGCCTAATTTTTTTCTTTTTGTGTGTTTGTGTTTATGATTGGAAGGCACTCTTATCTGGTTTGTTCCTTCTATCCTATCAAACATCTATCATGCTTATCTCTTCTTCTTTTCTTTGTATGTTACGCTTTAATAACACCTTTAATGTTCAGAACTTTATGACCTTTGTATTGTAAATGCTGTATTACTTATACAGAATTTAAAACTAAAACTTTCTCTTTTTGTACATTTGTATATCTGCCATGTGTGGGAAGGTTTTGTGCTGTAACGTAGGCTACTCTTGTTGGTGAAGATTCCATCCAAAATATATGTATGTTTCCGAGATCATTATTGTTTTTGTTCTATAATGTAAGCCTGCTCACAAAAATCAACAGACAACAAAGGCACTGACATGAATGAAATTGTGTTGATGTCAAATCAGTCCGTCGACGAAAAACAGATTTAGTATTTCTGGGTTTTTTTAATTGCCCTTTTAGATGAACATCTAAAAACCAGCAGCATGTGTGTTGTAATAGATGGGTACTCGTCTTCGCATGCAAAAGATCTGAGTCCATTTCCAGTGTGGGGATAACATTTGTGGTTGGACGCGGTGGAATCCGGCGCTCGTCAATTTTGGGGAACATGGAGTTATTTGTGTCATCTTAATAAAGCCTGTCCTTTTGTCTTGTTTTTGATGAAAAAAAATATCCATTTATCTTGGATACAAGTCAAGATACTGTATAATGGTGATTGAAGGAGGTGGGGTTGCCTAATTTCAGACGCCAAATTGAGTTATTTCCTTAGCTTGAGAGTCTGTGGACACTGAAAATTTACATATTTTATGTCTTTAATCAACGATTTTCCAATAAAATTCACACAGAAGTGTGTTTTTTTTAACAGGCATGAAAGGTGTTGAGCCAAAAAACAAAAAATTAGTTAAAATTCCCAAACCTGCAGAAAAATGCCAGTTTCTTGACTTTCATTATTTTGACGAGCGCCAGATTTCACCACCCTGCCTCACATTTTTAAAGAGTAACTCGATTCTTTGGGCTTGCACGCTGTACCCTTCTCAGTCCCAGTTGGGTTTAACAACATGCAAGATCGGACCCTCCTCCTAAATTATCTAAGTTTTGGATATAAAACATCTACAACTGCATTGTTTCCTTATTCCCTCTACTACAATGTAGAAGAACATCAAAACTGTACCTGTGAATCAATTTGAGTGAACCATCCTATAAGTAGGAAGAAGTTGAAGAAGATAAACTGTACCTGATGATACATTTGAGTACACCACCGTAGAAAAATAATAAAAGCAAGTGTGGAAAAATAGTGTCTAAAATGTAGGCCTACTTGTTAATCAATATGAGTGCACCATGCTGGATTAAATCATAGAAGAATAAAAGCATGTTGTTACAGAAGAATATTATCTGAACGTATCTCTGTTAATCAATTTTAATGCATCATCCTAAAAGTAATAAAAACTAGTGTAGACAAATGTGAGGCGTGCTGACTAAATGAGTTACTTCTCGAAGTCCA